CATTTTAAGCTCTGGGTAACTAAGATTTCAGGCAATTATTTAGAAATCTTAAAACCATATACAATAAAAAATGTATCATTTAAAATGGATATGTTTAAGCAACAACAATAAAGCTTATTTTATAGAAATAAAGTAAGAAAATTTGTCCTTTTACCCAGGGTTGGGGTTTCTTAACCTATTAGATTAAGGATATAGTTAGTGTATCTATGAACCCCTAAAGTTTATGCAGAATTTTATGTATATATGAATTTTACATTTTTCTTAAGGGTAGGATCAATAACTTTCATCAAATTTTAAAGATATATGTGACCTAGAGATCCTTTTTTACATGGTGGATTTTTTTAATTACTCAGTTAAAAGCCTGAGAGAAAAGATTATTATTTTTTTATGAGATCAATAGCCAGCATGACATCAAATGCTATGAAAATATTGATTGGCCTACAACACCAAATGGTACCACTTAAATCTTTACTAGGCTAGATTTTTTAAGTTTATATAGTTTGCTTTAATTTATTCCCCACCCTTGTATTAATAGTCTATCTCTCTTACAACTGGCGCTAAACCAAACACTGAAAAGGAACCTTCTATTCTGAAAGTGGGGGGAGGGAGAAAAAATTTGCTTCCAAGTTGTGTCCATTCTGTCAAGGTTGACACATCATCATCTTCTCTGACATGTGTGAAGAAATCGTCAACATTAGCACCAATAGCTATGAAACCTTTAGCGAGCCCTCCACTCTCCTCCTATACAGACACCCCCCCACCATGTCTTGAATGGAGGTATGAGATCGTTCCATTCTCCTTTTGTTTCCTCTGTGGGTTATACAGCCTTGGAGGTATTAAACCTTTCCTTTCTCTTTCAGTTTCTTTCTCCTTTCTCCTAAGATTTAAAGCCTATAGTAGTTCTAACCAGCTAGGGTACATTCTCACTATCATCAGTGGCTGGTTTTCCTTTTCACTTCCTTTTCACACTATTACACTGCTAGGCTATTTTCAAATGCAATTCTTTCAGTATTTTGTAATGAACTCAAAGAACAGATTCAGTGAGCATAAAGGCAAAAAAATTCCATTTCCACTTAGTTGTCTTTTCTTTTACCCAGAATCCTTAGATTTACTCATGAATCCTTAGATTCATGAGTCATAAAAAAAAAAAATGAGGCAAACTAATTTATATTTTTGGAATATTTTCTGGAGCTAGACAGTAAGGAGAATTATACTACAAGATTTTTCTAGAAAAGGGAAAACTAATTCTGATGTGCGATATCAGACAACCTGATATCTTTTCACTGCCACAAGTACGAAAACTAAAACTTCAGAGGGAAAGTCTTCGTTATGCTGGTGCTCTCAAGCCTCAACCAAAATTACAACACAGTACTGTGTGAAAACTGTTTTTTTCCCCCCAAATACACTTACTGCATTCATTTTCTTCATGTTTTCATGCTTTTTCTGTGTGTTTGGCACTTCACCTTCTCAATGCATTTCCTTAAAGTGCTTGCAAATAAAACTGGTGCTTTGCTTTCTCTGCCACATTGCAACAAGAGCTGTTTTATTAATTGAATCATTTACATTCTCTTCTTATTTTCTCCTCAAACTCAGCTTGGAAACCAGAACTTAACTGCCAATGTGCCGGAGGTAAATGCTTCACAGACACACAGTCAAACCACAGCAGAAGCCTCTTCTTCGTGCCTTCCTTCTGTGGTACCTTTTAGTCGAACCACTTTTTCACCAGATGGTGGCTCCAGCCCAGCATCACTGTCCCTACCTCCACCTGCTGACTTGTGGCCTTCACACCCGCACAGACTCCTGCCCCCTTCCCTCTGTGTATATAAACCCCCTCTCCTCGCTCCCAAGTGCCTTATCGAGGGCACCACCACAGGCGCTCTCACTACAGACTCCTCTCAGGGCAAGCAGTCCTCCTGCTCCTCCTCAAGCATGTCCTCCCCAGCCCTCCCAGATGAGTTGCAGATGGCTGACTCTGACACCGCTGACCGCTCTGAAACACCTTCCCCCACCTTAGATCAGGGGTCTGCTGTGACAGATGGCACCACCTTAATCACCCCTGCTGCCATGCATGTAATTATTCTTCCTTTGTCTCCATCATTTTTTAAACAGATCTCCAAAGACCAAGAGGACTGATTCCTCATCTGCCATCTTATTTTGTTGCAGGGCATTTTTATTCGCCTAGGTGTTGATTAGTAAACTGATTCTATGTTGCCCATCAAGGAAATCCATTACAGTCATCCTCAAATGCCTACTTGGGACTGAAAATTAATTCTCCTCATTCATTTTAGAGACAGTTACAGTTACACTGTATTGTGGGCTTGCCTTAATAGGGTATCTCAGAAATATAGATAATAGATATGCACATGTATATTATGATGATTAGATAGGATGGAAAATCTAAAACTGTTCAAAAATTTTAACCTAGTATTAAATCCTGGTAGGTAACACTGCCTTAGAGAGTCATATGTCCTGTGTGAATAGTTAATACAGCCTCGTTTCTCACATGTGTGAATACTAACAGCATAATGCTACTTCTTGCTCTCCTGTCACTAACTGTTTAACTCATCTGTCTTAATAGGAGTGAAGGATGTAAACAATCTTAATCTACATTATAGGAATTTAGCCCTGTGATTTTTTTGTCATTCCAGTGTAGAAATTTTTGAACATGTTATTATTGTATATGTGAATAGTTTATTTTGCATGTAGAGCAATACATAAAAATTCCCCATGTATATTATATCATTTAAATATGTCTATATGATGAGCTGTCCCTAATAAATGATTTATGAATGGCTAACATGCTTCCAAATTTTACAGCACAGATTTTTCAGTTGCATATAATAGATAGACAGTGGCTTCAATGTGAAAAACACATAACTTTAGGTAAATCATGGGTAATTTTTTCTAAAATTGATTTCCTAATGAAATTAAAAAAATTCTTCTGATTGATTTTATAATGGAATTCCTAGGTAAAATTTTTGTTTGCTGCATAGTTTTTATAGTGTACCACTGTATAAATCTGCAAATTTCACAAAAGGGAAAATAGTATAAGCCATGTGTTTTCCAAGATACTGCAGTTACGGGAGAAAAAAGATGTTTTTTAGTATCTTCATTATATGCTTAATGGTACTTTTGACAGGTTTTGGTATTCATTCAATGGATGGGTATAAAACTTTGCCCTGAGATGTTCCATTTAGTGACTGGCTACACAAAGAGTCTCGCTTTCCGAGGTTACCATCACCCAGATTCCCTCCCCTACCTCTGGTGCCAGGAACTCAGCCAGCACAGAATTTTAACAAATGTTAAGACCCTTAATCAGAAATACAAAAAGGGGATGCTGTATGAATTTATGTACTAAACTATTTGTCTTTCCATTTTTAAGACTCTCCAGTAGCCTGAGAGATATACATATAGCTGTAGGCATAACTGGAGCTATATGTAACTGAAATTAAAATCAAAGAGCAGCTTGAGTTTCACATAGGTGTTTCATGATATTATTTATTAGTAAATTTCAAATTGTCTTAACATGATGAATTCTATTTACAGTATTTCTTTTTTTAATCCCTAATCAATATTATGGCAATGATCAAAATTGGATTCAGGGCAACTTTCCTAAGTTTAGTGAACTAGTAATGTGATGGCTTTTAATGTGACTTTTCCTGCTTTTAACATGTTATAACAACAATATTAAAATTATATTTACAAAGTTCAACCAAACTTAACTTGTTTAAGGCTGCAAAAATATTCTCAAATAACCCATCAAAGGCACATAAAGACTCTGAAACATTTGTGTAGGCCAGAGCCTTACATTTATTTGAATGTCCTGTTCTCTTCAGAGAGAAGACCTCAAGATACAGCTGCTTAAGACATAAGAGTGATTTCTGTAACAACTAGAAAAGTACTTAATCAATAAAGCACAGTCACTGTAATGAAATGTTTGTTGACTTTAGGCTATAAAGTAATGAAATTATTTTTATTCTAGGCCATTTAAAAACAACTACTTTAAAGTGAAAAATTACAGAAATATGAAGTTAATTTTCCATCTGTGTTTCAACTTTGCTAAATAGATTTTTAATTTAAATTTAGAGAAAGCTCACAATATAGTTCTTTACATACGTGTGTTTGTGTATATGCATCTGCACAATCCTTTTAACTGAGTGCTCTTACTAATGTTTTGTCTCATTTGCATGTAATATGTAATCTCTACAATTCTCAGGGCTGTGTTTTGGAGAGATAAGCTTGCTTAATAGTGGTGAGCTCAATTTTTGAGCTAAGCTGATTCAATTCAATTAGAATATGTATCTATCGAATATCTACTATGTTATTAGTACCAGGTTGCTATGTTACAAACGATATATATATTGAAAAAGTATATATATGAACATCTCCAATAAGAAGCATGAAATACTATGGGGGAGGGTATAAGACACTCAGATATAAGTCAATCAAAAACAATATTAAAAAACCAAACAGAGGCTGGGCGTGCTAAATGAGATTGGAATAGGGAGAAGCCAGTGGTTTCACATATCTTGGAATGCTTTGCCAGGTATTCATTCTCCAAGAATAGATTGCTTTGTGACGTGAAAATCCCAACAATTGTGTTCCTTGCATGAGTCACCTTTCCCTGGAAACGCTCAAGGATATCCCCATCTAAGGCTAAGAACCAATCCCTTTCCTCAGGTCACAGACCATCATTTTGAAGCTCATGTGCAGAGTAGTGTGACAGTGCTCTGTCCACTTAAGCCATGGTTTTAAGAGAAAATTTATTTATACTGACTCCTCCTGATACCTTTGGGCATCTCCTCTGGCAGAGGGGTGTGCCCACAGGTCAGCTGCTTCCATTCTTCCTACTCACCTCCTGTGCCCTCTGACATTTGGGGAAATGATCTTTAGAAATAAAAGGAGATAGAGAAGACACTGGGGGGAATAATGTGCCCTGTCCTTGCAGACATTAGTTTGCAAAGTAAAAAGGAATTTGACAGTTCATTACTGTCATGTGAACAGAAGTCTTTTGCTGTCACATGAAGGAATGGTGCTCACCAGGGACTCCAAGATATAACTGGATGTCTTTGCACTTCTCTCAGAGCCAGATAACAGTGAATGGAAACTCTGGAGTTGCTGTGAGTCCAATGAGTTACTATCAAAGGCCGTTTTCCCCATCCGCTTACTCTCTACCGGGTTCATTCAATTCCAGCCTTACCATGCATCATGGCCGGTCACTTGGTAAGTCATTTGATAGTCATTTCATGGCAGTTTCAATATTGCAGGTCTGAGCCACTGAGCAAAATATTAAGTATCAAAGTAATTTTCTAAAAAAAAAAAAAAAAGAGGATGCAGGAACATTAACATATTACTATTAATGACCTTATCCTAGAGGAGCAGTTCGGGGTAGGGGAGACAATAGGCACCCAGTTATCAAAGATGAAAGATGATGAGTGCTTCTGCAGCTGAGTCTGGAAAGGTTAGGTGATGGAGGAGGTGGGGTAGGAAGAGAGAGAAGATGGCTAGTGGGTCAGTGGAGTGTTCTCACCACCAGGATATTCACATGGTGCATTTCCATCAATGCCACCATGTTCAGGACAGCCCCTTCTTTGATTGAAGAGTTTCATTGCAGAAAATTCTTTTGATATAAGGAACTGTTTTAGCCATTGAGGCAGCCTAACCAGAGGAGGCATTGCATCACTAAGTAGTAAATAATAAAATTTTTGCTTCCCAAAGTAGTTAACTACTATTCAAACTAAGGCTATAAGACCCTCAGCTAGGGATGTGCGTTCCTTTAATGGACAGTTCCATAGTCTTATAGAGTTCTTAATCCTTTGGAAATTAACAATTAGAAGAAAGCTGTAACTCACCTCCAGAACAAAAAATAATGAAAATTTGAGCAGTCATAAAAAAAATTTTCAGCAACAACTTTCACGGGGCTCATGCACTCTTTGAAGCCTCCTGGTAAGAGGCTGAGCTACATAATTATAGAAAAAAAATTAAATGTATTTTATTTATTTACACATATAAGAACTGAGGTGTAGCCCAGAGGTGTGGGGTGTGGGGTGAGAGGATTCACCAGAGATAGAGAGGGGAGCAGAACAGGCAGATCTACTGAAATACATTGCTCAGGGGAGCAGCAGGCAAGACAGAAGAGGTCTGCTGAACCATGTGGGTTATCTCCCTGTCTGGGGATCGAACTTGTGCCACGGTGGTTGGCTATAGCTTGATAGCACTGAGACTTAACCCCTGTGCCACCAGGGAGGCTCATAATAGGAGCATTTTTATGTGGCACAATGCATTAGGACAGTTTAGCAAATAATATAATGAATATTTCTTAGTTTTAAAAAATGTAAAAGAAAAACACAAAATATTAGCAAAACAACAAATCAACCTATCATGTGAATTTCAACTGAAAAAGTTTCCCTGATAGTGAGCAACTAAAAGTTTTCAGGACAGTGAGAAACAAGCACCGCCAAAGAGCAAGGCCGACCACAGCACAGCTCTCAGGAGGGCAGGAGAGGACGACTCCTCTGGCTACCCCACCCACCCACAGAGAAAGAAACCGGAATGTAGGATTTTATCTCCTGTTATCCTCTGACACCAGGCAGCACCTCTTCCAAACACCACTTTGTATTGAAAGAGCAGGATGCCATTAATTTACCCAGGAACATCTTATGCCCACTTCCCGCATGTACATTGTGAAACCACCGTGTCTGGTCAAACAAACCTCTATAACTAGATGACTTAAATGTAGCCAGGAGACTCATTAAAGAAAAATCTAAATATACTTTTGTCTTCTCTAATGCTGCTCTGGGGATCATCTATGAATCTTACAGTGCTGTCCTTTTGAGTAGAAGGGAGTAGAACTTCCTTGTGCCAAAGTGTCACCCTTACACAAACAGTCTACAGTAAAGTAGTGTAATGGGAGTGTATTATATCTACATTTTGTGTGGAGCTATGCAGGATCACACATTTATAATAAATGATTCTAGTAATATTATAAATGATCTAGAAATTATTCTAGCCATAACATTTTCCCAAATAATTATCAAAGTCTGACTCCCTGTCCATATTGCCTGTCATCATGAACACATTTCTCCCTCCCACCCTACCAAACAAAGCAGATAAATGCTTGAGTTTAGACAGACTTTTTACATTAAAAGTTATCAATAGGTAGATTTTACATATAAACTGTACTACATAGAATGAAATTCCCTATATAAATATTGAACAAATTCCATTTGGCTAATGCTGAGGTAAGTCCTGAGAATGTATAAATCTGTTCCACCCTGGAGAAACTTGATGTTTAGTTGAAGACAAAAGACTGCAAAAAATGAGAGCTACAAACCATATAAGAGGATAATAAAGGAAAAGGCTAAACTGTTTTATGTGAGCTCTCAGTAGTATCTTTGTAGTATCTTATGAGCAAGGTGTGAAGACAGAGTTGCTACTGTTACTTGGACTGACACTTTGCACCTACTAGGTGCTCAAAGATATTTGTTGTTTGAAAGAAATATTAGGGTCATGGTGCCCATTTTTTGAAATTAAATGGAAAACTATAGTCTAATATCACATTGTTTCTTAATTTTCTGTTGCTTTAAAAAAGCTGCTTCTTTTACAAAGAATAGCATATAAAGCAGTTTTATTCCTATCTTTTCCATTCTTCATTGGATTTAAAGTGCTTTTCTACTGTGATATGAGCAAATTTGAAAATAAAAAATATAATAGTAACAGCAGTTATAAAGCTTATAAGATATTAGCTTACAGAGATCTTATCTCTTACCTTATAATGAATTCAGTATTCTAAAATTTTATTTGTAAAGGTTTATATAAATTTTCTATAAGCATAGTCATTTATTTTGAGATTTATATCATTTGTAGGGGAAGGGAGTATAATCAATCAATACTACCCTCAAATATCAGGATTCTCCATAGCCACATAAAAAGAGAATTTACTAATGACTCATCTGACAAGCCATGGCAAAGAATCATTCTTGGTCATTGATATTTCAAAGCTGATTGGAGAAAAATAGGAAGACATATTTTCAGTTGTACCAGATGAATGATAATGTTTATTTTCTTAACTATCTGTGAATTAATTGTGGAATATATAGTACATGTGTGATCTCTGTTTCTGATGAAATTATGCTAAAAGTTAATACAGATGGCATGGAGCTAGGAACCTAAGAAATCTCATCTAATCTATATTGATTAGGGCAATTTTTACACTTAAGAGGTGGGATGTTGTGGGTTTTGTTACGATAAAGTAAAAGCAAAGCTGTTACCATCATCATGGCTGCTTAAATAAAAACCAATGCTAACAATTTGCAACCACTTATTTATCCATAAGCCTGCATGTGAATTTGTGAATATCCATATGTCTGCATGTGAATATTTTCAATGTGATTTTCACTTTAACTTTATTTTTATGAAATCTCTATCATATCAATAGTCCTATCTATTGTCCTAATATAAATATAAAATAATATGCATGTAATTTATTTTATAATAGTAAATATAAAAATTAAAGTAATGTTAATGTCATATATGGAAAAATGTAATATCATGTAAGCTGTGATATGAGAGAAGTTTGCTAAACTTGTCTTAGTTTCTGCCCCCTCAACCACAAATAGAATCTTCCCCACCCCACAATTACCAGAAGGGTAAGATGAGGTAATGTGTGCACAATGTTTTCTCAACATAGTGGCTGCCTCAGGTCCAAGGGCCCAAGGTTCAACAAATTTCTTCTTCCCCTCACCTTTCTTCATAAAATGTTGAGGACTTTTGTGTCTTTTCAATGTACATGTAAAAATGGGTGACTCAAAGTTAAGGTAAAGAGTAAAAGAGATAGTGCTGGAAATAGCTTTATGTTGCATAAATAGAATCACCATTCATTTATAATTACTTCTGCATCAAATAAAGCCTTTTGCACCACACTTTTCTCCATAGACTCCACAGAGACATATCCTCAGCATGTGCAGTCCCTGGACAGCTCAATACCACTGTACAGATCGTCAGAGGAAGAGAAGAGAGTGACGGTCATCAAAGCCCCACATTACCCAGGGATTGGGCCTGTTGATGAATCTGGAATCCCCACGGCCATTAGAACGGTAAGAAATACCAGCAAGGTAGATCCCTAGGGGTGGAATTGCCGGGTTGTATGGTAGCTCCATTTTTAGTAGACTGAGGAATCTCCACACAGCTTTCCACAGTGGTTGGATCATCAGTTTGCACTCCCCCCAGCAATGTAGGAGAGTTCCTTTTTCTCCACATCCTCACCAACATTTGCTTTTGCTTGTTTGATATGTGCCATTCTCACTGGTGTAAGATGGTATCTCAATGTGGTTTTGATTTGCATTTCCCTGATGATAAGGGATGTTGAACATTTTTTCATATGCCTGTTGGCCATTTGCATTTCCTCTTTGGAGAAATGTCTTTTGAGTTCTTCTGCCCATTTCTTGACTGGATTGTTTATTTTGTTTTTGTACGTCTACTAGGGATCTACCCAAAGGACACAAAAACATTGATTCAAAAGAACACCTGTACACCTATGTTTATTGCAGCACTATTTACAATAGATAAAACCTGGAAACAACCCAAATGCCCAAAAATAGATGACTGGATCAAGAAGACATGGTATACATACACAATGGAATATTATTCAGCAATCAAAAAAGATAAACTCATGCCATTCACAGCAATATGGATGGAACTAGAAGGAATTATGCTCAGTGAATTAAGCCAGAAGGAAAAAGAAAAATATCAGATGCCTTCACTTATAGCAGAAATATAGGGGAACCAAATAAGACATCAGTGTAAAAAAATAGTAACAGCACAAAACACAACAAAGCAAAAACGGACAATTATAAATCAGAGACATCCTGTAGGGGAGGAGGCGGGAGAGGGATCAGAGGGAGGGAGGGAGGAGCACAGGGGACTGAGGTGATGGTGCACAGGTGCATTGGGGAAGGAAACTCCATGGGGACTCCACCTGAGGGCGTGGGGGAAGCAAATATTGTTTAAAAATGAACAAATGTAAAAAAATTTTAAAAATTAATATTATTTTAAAAATAAAAAGGAAATTAGCAATTTATTAAAAAAAAAAAGAAAAGAGCAAAACGCAACAGGAAAATAAAAAAGAAAAGAAATACCAGCACAGGCACTGGGGAGGGGGCGGTGCAGACTCTACAAAGGCTGAATTGTCAATGGCTTTGTGCATTCCTAGGGTCTTATATAATGAGGCTTGCCCTCCGTGCCATCGGAGTCCTCATGAATATTGTGCTGTGTGTGGCAGAGAAAGGGAACTGTCGACTGAAGATAATGACACGATATTTTCCCATTTTCTTTTTAAGAAAAGTCTGTTTTGTATGGTGTCATTATTTTTACCTTTTTTCCAGGAGCATTAGGGCCATAGGAGCAAAGTGAAGGAAGGAGAAAATGTGGATTCTTTAGCTGCCTTGAATTCCCACGTGCATTGCAAATAACCCAGTGGTGTGTTTCTTGAAATGGATGTGCATTAACGCCTGGCGAGGGGAGCTGTGAATTCAGGGCTGGGAGGGGAGATGATGGAAGTGAGGCAGTTAATGTCATGGAAAGGCAAAACCGAGGGAAAACACACAGTCGAGGTGTCCCTCTTCAGCTGTGCCTGCTGAGAGCTCTCTGGGATGACAAGTGAAAGTGTCTGGATTTTTTTTTAGTCTTTAAGCTCTGCCAAGCCATAGCTCAGTGCGTCAGGGCAGCCCCTTCTGGCAAGGCTCCGGTAGCAGAGGGAGCTTGGGCAGGCAGCTGCTTGTGACCAAGTCCACTTGAAGAGAAGGTCTGTGCTGGCCACGGGAGGCTGAGGAAGACTGAGGGACAGCATGAGAGCCGCAGCACCTTTGCAGGTGACCTGGGGGAGGGTGGTGCAGGCGTAGGGCTCTGGCTGCTCACACTTTGCCTGTGACACCCACTGGGTATTGGCTGGGATGTTGCCAAGAGCTGCTTCCCTGAAATTCAGAAGTGGGGAAGGGGGCACACCAAGACAATAGTGGCCAGAGGAAAAGAACTGGGGAAGAGAGCAGAACAAAAAGCCGTGGTCAGATTGGAAACCTGAAAATGACCTAAAGGCTAATTATGGGGGCCTGCCCTCTTGGAATTTGCATTTATTAATGGGGTGGATGTGTTCCATGAATAGAGAGATATTTAAAATCAAATATTCCAGGAATCTGTACTCAAAAGCAAAGCTGGATAGTAGTCCCTGGTGTTTTTGACTAATTACATTCTGGGAATGATGAATGTGACTAGTGATAAAGTCCTCAAAATCTCTGTTGTCATATTTAAGTGACAAGAGAAGTTCAGGGATTGTGACTCATGTTCTTAATCTTACAACATTTTATGTTCTGGGGATGGTGTTTTGTCGTTTGTTTCATTTTTAAGTTTCTGACTCAAATGATTAAATGAGATTCTTTCCTAATAATGTAGGACACAGTGTCAGACAAAATGGTGTCGTTGGT